GGAGGGAGGGAGGGAGGGAGGGAGGAAGGAAGGAAAGAAGGAAGGAAGGAAGGAAGGAAGGAAGGAAGGAAGGAAGGAAGGAAGGAAGGAAGGAAGGAAAATGTTAGGAGACATGTGGATGTCTTTTAAATGTCTATGAGACATCCTAGGGTCTGCAAGCTGACTGCAAGTCTCTCAGAACCAAACTGCGGTGCGTTGTTCTTTTTCTCAGCAGATCACTGAAAACCTAGTCTATGAAAGGCCAGACGACCCGCTGCGTTTCATGCTAAACCAGGTATGAGAGAACTTACCATCATTCTTTTCTCATTGTTGGAAAACTGCATACATGCAGCAAAGCAAAGGGTGAACAGCTCCAGGTCATCATGAAGGAACCCTTCTTGCAGCTTCCAATCAAGAGCTTTTATTAAAGTATAGAACAAAGCTAGGTATGGTGGCTCACCTCTTTAATGCCAGTGCCCGGGAGGTGGAGGCGGGCAGATCTCAAAGTTCAAAGCCAGCTGGGGCTACATAGTGAGACCCTGTCTCAAACTAAAAAACAAAAAAACAAAAAAACATCCCCAGCATCACAGAACCCTCTCTCCTCGTGACTTCCCACAAAGGAACTAATTATTTTGTCCTTTATAATAACCTGCTCACTTTCCTTTAAAATGTTACTGTTGCACAAGAGTCCTGAGACACTTTTGTTTAGACCTGTGAGCTCTCTGAACTGTCTTTGAATTGAACTATCTATAGCCAGTATTATTTTTGTTTTACCTCTTTTGCCCAGAATTATGTCTCTGGGTCTGGGATCAGTCTATCTGTTGTGTGTAGCTGTTCATCCATTTCCATCATCTAAAATGCTATTCACCATGTAGAAAACTGTGGCTAATCCATTCTCGTTGTTATGGACATGCAGATTGTTTCTAATTTGGAGCTATTACAAAAAAAACTCTTGCTGTAAGCCTTCCCATCCATGTCTTTCAGAGGTACGTGTCTCTTGGCTCTATACTTTACTCACTGGAGAGCTTGTGTTTGCTTAGCTTCAAATGGATTGCTTCCCTTTTCTAGCATGAGTGAGCCAGTTAGCACCCCGCCCCCACAAGCTCCAGCTTTACCAGTGTTCACTGTCGTCGCTGTATTTAGTCATGGCTATTTGTTCATTTCAGTGTTCTTCTGACTTTTCCTAGCTATGAGGCATCTGCATGTTTTTCCATCTGTTTACAGAGCATTTGTAAACACTTATTTTTCTATAGCATTGCTTCATGTCTTTCTCATTAGCAACAGGCTTCTATGTGTTCTGACCCTGAGTGTTTGGCTAATCAAGCGTTTAGTATATCCTTCTACTCTCTGTCTTACCTTCTAGCTCTTACCTTTTGATGAGGAGAAATTCTTAAGTGTAGGATCAAATGTAACAATGTTTTTCTTCATGATTAATACTTCCACCGTCTTATGTTAGAAGTTTCACCCACATTTGATGATGGCTTCCTACACTATTTTACAGGTGTGTGTGTGTGTGTGTGTGTGTGTGTGTGTGTGTGTGTCTGTATGTATGTATGTATGTATGTATGTGCATGGGTGTGTGTGTCTAATGAAGCAGAGTTTGTTTGCTTGTTACCTTTCATATCTATGTCCACAATCTTGAATCAATTTTGTATATAATATGAGATTAGGCACAGATTCACTTCCTTAATCCATTCAAACACCCATCACCATAATATGCTCACTGATCTGTACTTCAATCATTCAGAATATTTATTTATAATTGTTTCAAAATAAGACAATTCTCATGGCTGGAATAACTCAGTACCCAGTAGAGAAATCTTGCCTGCTTTAGTCCTCTTTAAGCGTGTCTTTGATAATCCTGGACCTCAATTTCCATATTAGTTTCATGACATTACACAAAGATGTACCTCTATATACATACAAGTATACACTGGTACAGCGCTTTTCAGTCTTCCTAATGCTATGACCTTTTAATGCAGTTACTCATGTGTTGATTACCAACCATAAAATTATTTCATTTCTACTTCATACCTGTAACTTTGCTACTGTTTTGAATCATAATGTAAATATCTGATATGCAGGATATCTGATACAAAACCTCCAAAGGCATTACAACCCACAGGTTGAGAGCCACTGCACTAGTGGCAGTTGCTTTTGGTCTCAACTAGGTTTTTTTGGAGGGTAGAAGTGACAGCTTTAACCAGAATGTTTGTTACCCATTTAGATCTTAAGTTCTCTTGGCATATTTACTATTTGCATACATGTTATATGTTATGTATTTTAGTGGCTTTACCCATGAGCATTTAGTCTTGGTGCTACTATACATAGAAAATTCTAAATGTTCAGGATCTAACTAGTTGGCATGTAGAAATACAGTATTTTTGCTGTTCATAGAGTCAGTAGCCTCACTGAACTTGCCTGACTCTAATGATGTATTTGTTGAAGCTCTGAGGGTTTCTGCAGACACAAGCACACTGACTGCAAATAATCCCTTGACCTTTTCGATCCCTGCTCTCTTTGCTTTCTTGTCTTATCACATATATTGCATATCTTCTCTTTAATTCTTTACTTTCTTCTTTCTCTCTTCTCCACCCTACAGAGAGACTGATCTATAGGGACTAAATCGGGCTGGTATCCTGATTCTCTGTTGAGTTAAGTCAATAAGAAACCCTGGAGGAAGAGTAGAAGGAAAAAGAAAATCTGCTCAGGCTTAGTACTATGGTCTTCTTTATGAATACACTTTGATCTGTCTTGTCAGGAGGTATCTTATTTTACATAACTATATAACTATATAACACTATATATATATATATATATATATATATATATATATATATATATATTACCTTTTGTATTTCAATAATATTCAGATCACATCTCAGTATACACACACACACACACTCTTCAGTCTTAAAATTACTTCTACTATTTCTAGCTTTAAATGATACCTTGTTCCATGTGACTCCCCATATCCCACTTTTTTAAGTAACCTCTGTATGAATCATCTTCATAGAACTGTATTGTGAATGTACAATCAGATTTTCTTTGTTCATGTTGTTGCTGTTTTGCTTGGGATAATGACTGGTGTGGTCCACTGCTTAGGGTCTCCAGAATAATTAATGCTGAATGGTAGTAACTACTTTGATTTATCTTCTTTTCTGTTTGAAAATATTTTGTCACTTCTTCACCGTTAAGTGACAAGTTTATTGTTTGTAGCTGTCATTGCTCATGTTCAATAAGTTCTCTTCTCAGAAACTCTCTGGCATTTTAAAATAAATTTTATCAAAAATCAAATTTTATTTACCTTTAGAGATGTCTATATGACTTTAAGGGGTTTTATTTTAGCAAAGGGGTGAACTTTCTCCCATTTTTAGAACCTTTAAATCATACATGCAGAAAATTGTACCGGTGAAAATTTTAAGTGATTGGGTCTATGAAATCACCAACCAAGTTGCTGTTGGAAGGTGGGTCTTTAGGTCTTCCATGACTCAAACCATAAAGCAAAACACAGAAAACGGAAGCAAAAACCTAGCTTTACTGAAAGCAGATGCAAAGAGCACACTCCACAGAGCAGAATCAGTCTTGGGCAAACACATGGCTCAGAAACTGCCTTGTTTCCAGTCTAGGAGCTTTTAATTATAAAGAGAAAGGAAGGGTTTCCTGGAGGTGTGGGCTTTTCTTGGACTGGCCTAGGTTATATAACCTTATGCTTACTGAGCATGTGCCAGCCATCCCATAATCCTCTTTGTTATAATGAGAAGAATGATGTGCAGTTCATATGCCATAGCACTTATGGCTTCTTTATGACATCCCAAAGGTCAAATGTGTGTCTCTAGTGGAATACCCCCCCTAGGTTTTACTTCCTAAGCATGATCTTATTTTTCCTGTTTATTGAAGGGAGGGATGATCCCCAACTGTCCAAGAGATAGTATGGGCATGCCCAAGGAGACAGTCTTGTCTTTTTTTTTTTTAATTCAATAGAATTCTAATTAATGTTCAATGTGGTAAGAATGGTTGAAACTTCTTTTGCCGCTGATGATGTCATAGATTCCTACATCAAAGCCGCTTCTGCTTAGAAGAGGAGAGAACACAGAAGAGATCCTGGGTGGGGGCTCCTCTCACAGACTCTGAAGTGAACCTTTCACAACAGCAAGAAGGATTTAAGGAAGCTTAGCATTTGGGAGCTTTGCTAAACGGAACTGGATCATCTGTTTTCTGGGTCATCTGAATTAATCAGTACACGAACAATTAACCTCCTTAAGACTGCTCCTAAAGACGGTGTCAGGCTTGGCTGTGCCTTCTCATCTCAGGGATGCTCTAAAACTGATAAAGACAAGTCATCACTGGTCTATTTCTCCTGGACTTTGAGGTTTGTTTTTTTTTAAAAAAAAAAAAACAAAACAAAAAACAGAGGACTCCTCATCTTCCTTTCAGTTTGTACCAGGCACCTGACATCTCATCCTGCTGTAACTGCTTCCTGATCCACCATGATGTAAGGATTCTCTGCCACAAACTCCTGCTTCCACAAATTCATCCATGTTTTCTTAGTCATAATATGCTAGTACTTCTGAAACTTTGGTGACTGCACATGGGATGGATACTCAGGTGGAATGGTCTTCAGACAGCCCCTCCTTCAGTTTCTGTCCCTCACTTTGTCTCCATATTTGCTCCCTTGAGTATTTTGTTGCTCCTTCTAAGAAGGACTGAAGCAACCCCACTTGGTCTTCCTTCTTCATGAGCTTCATGTGGCCTGTGAGTTGAATCTTGGGTATTTCAAGGTTCTGGGCTAATATCCAATAATCAATGAGTGAATACCATGTGTGTTCTTTTGTGATTGGCTTACCTCATTCAGGATGATATTTTCTAGTTCCATCCATTTACCTAGGAACCTCTCGAATTCATTGTTTTTAATAGCTGAGTAATACTCCATTGTGTAAATATACCACATTTTTTAAATCTATTCCTCAATTGAAGGACATCTGGGTTCTTTCCAGCTCCTGGCTATTATAAATAAGGCTGTTATGAACATAGTTGAGCATATGTCCTTGTTATAGGTTCGAGCATCTTCTGGGTATATGCCTAGGAGTGGTATAGCTGGATCCTCAGGTAATGCTTTGTCCAATTTTCTGAGGAACTGCCACACTGATTTCCAAAGTGGTTGCACCATCTTGCAGTCCCATCAACAATGGAGGAGTGTTCCTCTTTCTCCACACCCTCGCCAGCATCTACTATCACCTGAGTTTTTAATCTTAGCCATTCTGACTGGTGTGAGATGGAATCTCAGGGTTGTTTTGATTT